CCCCAAAACCCCAAAACCCCAAAACCCCTAAAACTAGCCACAAGTTGGATATAATTAAGATTTACTAAATATGTTTACTAGAAGAGTCTTACAGTTCAAGAAGCCAGCTGTTAGTCTTGGTAGAACTTTCTCTACCAGATCAACATTTGCAAACATCAGAGCAGGAGCTTTCATGAGGTCATCCAGAAGAGTTCTCCCAGCACTTGGATTCTCCCTTGGAGCTTTCTACGGAATGAAACATTTGAATTATTCTTCAAAGTTTAGATTCAGCACTCAGATGGCTGAAGCTCAGGAGGAGTTCAAAGAGATTGAAGTAACTGGTCATGAAAATCTTGGAGAAGGAGAAATGATGGCCTTCCAGGTTGGCCCTAAGGACGGAGACAAGATCCTGATTGCCAAGTACCAAGGAAAGATATATGCTCTATCAAACTTCTGCTCTCATTTCGGAGTTCCTCTAGCTGGATCCGTACTTTTAGAAGATAAAGTTATTTGTCCTGCTCATAATGCAGCATTCAGCATTGTTGATGGATACCCAGAGTATGCTCCTGCATTGAATGGACTGCCAACATATGAGACATATGAGAAAGATGGCAAACTCTTTGTCAAGCTGCCACCCAATTACAAAGCTTCCAAACAGGTTGACATGGCCACTAGAGATGAATCCAACAAAGCCAGAGTTGTTATCGTTGGAGGAGGAGCTGCCGGACTCTCAGCAGCTGAAACACTCCGTCAGTCAGACTACACTGGTGAAATCATCATTCTCTCTGATGAAGACAAGACTGCCTATGATAGAACTCTTCTAAGCAAAGTCTTAGTTAATGGAGATGCTGACAAGTGGCTTCTCCGTAAGCAAGATTTCTTTGACAAGTATGGCATCGATTTCAGAACAAGCTCTAAAGTCAAGGGGGTTAATGTTGAAAGCAACGAAGTGACTCTTGCAGACGGCACAACTGTGTCATACGACAAGCTCTTGCTAGCAACTGGAGGACATCCAAAGAGACCAATTCTCCCAGGAATAGATCTCGAGGGGGTTTATACATTAAGGAATGCCAGCGACCAAGAAAAGATCAAGAGCCATGTTAAGGATGGACTTAAAGTGGTTATTGCAGGAGCCAGCTTCATTGGATTTGAAGCTGCAGCTAGCTTTGCTTCCTCCAAGATTGAAGGAGTCCAAGTCCATGTCGTTGATATGGTCAACACTGCATTCGAAGGAGCTCTTGGTAAAGATGTTGGAGGAGTTCTCCAAAAGTTAGGTGAAGACAACGGAGTTAAATTCCATCTCTCTAATGGAGTTAAAAAGATTCACGGAGAAGGAGGAAAAGCAACCAAAGTTGAGCTAAACAATGGAGAAATCTTGGATGCAGATATTGTCTTGTTTGGAACTGGTGTTCAACCAACCACACAATACATTCAGGAAGGTATTGAATTAGATAGAGATGGAAGTATCAAAGTAAATCCATTCCTTCAAACGTCTGCTTCAAACGTCTATGCTGCAGGAGATATTGCTAGCTATCCATACCATGTGACTGGAGCAAGAGCTCGTGTTGAGCATTGGAACCATGCTTTGCAGCAAGGAGAAATTGCTGCATTCAATATCCTTGGCAAAGATATTCCCTATGACGCAATCCCATTCTTCTGGACCAGAAATTACATGAAATCCCTCCAATATGTTGGATACACTAGAGATTATGATGATGTATTTGTAGATGGAAGTCTTGAAGAACAAAAATTTGTTGCTTACTATACCAAGGGAGAAAAGATCCAAGCAGCCGCTGCTTTCAACAGAGGAGCTGATATCCATATCATCAAAGAAGCCATGAGACTCGGACTTCTTCCAAAGGCTAGTGAGATCAAGGATGGGTCTGTAACAGTTCAGGATCTTAAGGCAAAGATATTGGCCAAGCCTGGAGCTTCAGCTTGTAGAAGAAAATCATGCTGCAGGAATAAAAAATCTTCATAAGTACTCAACTTGAATTAATTTCAATACTCGAATTGAACAAAGGGGTTTTGGGGTTTTGGGGTTTTGGGGTTTTGGGG